TTTTTTACAAAAAATGTTTGTCTGTCAATTGCCAAACTTTTTTTTAAAAGAATGTTGAACCATATGGTTTGCTGATTTTTCTTTAGATATATTTGAATTAGAAATTTATTTAAAAAAATTATATTCATATTGGTTTAATAATTTATGTAATTCATAGTTAAAGAAATGCACATATTTTTAGAGATATTCTTAAAGTTTCAAACAAACAGTACTTTTATCGCCGACTAGATACACCAGATACACCATGTACAATTGTCAGGCGACCTAATTCATACGATGGCCGACAGCGGCCGCCACTTTTGATTCTGAATATTGTCATTTTGTACAGCTTTTTTGTCAATTTTCGTTGACAAATTACAACTAAACTGGTAATGCTATATGTTCATATACAGTTTTTACACTGACAATTTACACTGGAGAAAATCATTAAAATTCTTTCTTGTGATATGAAATGAAGATACATAAAACAGGTTACTTGAAGGTGATAAGCTTAAGGTTCTAGCAGAACAGCAAGGTCGGGGTGATTACAGATTAGTATTGTCTTCTAGATATGCTTTCTCGACAGATTGTAGTAATTAATTCATAAAATTCCATGTTGGTGTACCTGCTGGTCACATCATAGGTAACCAGGATGAAATTTTCCAGGTCTATGAGAAATTTGATTTTGTTCATAATCGGACGTGTCTTTGATGTATGAATTTTTTTTTAAACAATGCGCACGAGGAAATGATCACTTTAGTTACATGTACCTATATTTTCATTCCCGTGCCACATTGAAAAATAATTGGCCGACCAGGTGGAAGTCTTGAGAGGTTGCGTTGGCCTTTAAAAGTGTTTCAAGCATTTAGTTATTAATTTATGTGTTTAGAGAGCAAATACAGACTCCCACATTTAAGGTTGTCATTTTATTCTTGCTTAAAAACGGGTATATTTCCGTATCTAAAGTTTTGTTTTTGATACATTCCATAAACTTTTGATTGGATGCTCACATGTAGAGCTACTAAATCCTGTTTTTCTACCTCTGCATAATAGGTAGAATCGAGTTGTCTCATACACTTTGAGGATCGAGATATATCCATTATATTCATGTATATCCATTACAACAAACGCACTATTTTTATTCGCCTTTTTAATTACAATCCCAAGAATATCTTTTTAATGATACAACAAGGTGACAGAATGACGATTTACGTCTAATCTAGGATTAACTGGGTTACGATATCTCAGACTAATTGAGGGTGAAAATCATTAAAATGCTCCTTGTCTCTTTCAAGCCACCTGTTTTATGTATCTTAATTTCATATCACTCGAAAGAATTTTAATGTTTTTCGCTGGTGTAAATTGTCAGTGTAAAAAGTGTACATGTACATATAGCATTACCAGTTTAGTTGTAATATGTCAACGAAAATTGACAAAAAAGCTGTACAAAATGACAATATTCTTAATCAGAAAGTGGCGGCCGCTATCGGCCATCGTAAATTCAGGCATAACGCACATTAATTAATTCTTTAAACTCCAATTTACTTATCTATTTATTTGCTGAAAGACAAAACAGAGAATATAACCACTCACATAACATCGACGAAAACGATATGAAATATAGGCAACCTGTCGAAAAGCCCGCGCTTATTGAAAATAGTTCGCTTACAATATGCATTCAGTAGTGTATGTGCACAAATTGTTATATCACGATTACCCTAATAAAGTAAATATCTAATTCCTCTTTCAATTTAATTCTCAAACAAAAATATTGATCAATTAACAATTCCGTAGATTGAGATGTAAAAAATATTTGTTTAAGTATCGTCTTTCAATGTGACTATTTTGTTTATCGGAAGCGTCTGCTTTGACGCTGTTAGGCTTTTTGTTTACTTTTCTGAACATGTGCTATTTATAGTAAGGCAGTCGATCACGATGCCTACAGCCAGGACTTTGCTTTCAGCAAAGCCCGGCTAAAAAAAGTGACTGGAATTTTGACAGTATAAGATATTGACTGAAGCAAATATAGTTACGGTGAAATTATGGTATATATTCCTAAATCTTGCCTAATACGATGTAATCTTTAAGTCCCTTTCGATAAATTCAATTATTTAAAATGTTGTCTAATCCTTATATATATATATATATATATATATATATATATATATATATATATATATATATATATATATATATATATATATATATATATATATATATATACACACACAAACCAATAGGTAAGTGACACAAGGCATCATATGTTCTGATAATAAAAATTTCTATCAACAAACAACCTTGTGTTTATGGCTATACACGTAACTATTTATCAAAACTTTTCTTGTATTTGGTAAGGCTTTGTTACTGATAAATAATTTAGATGCAAAATACAAATCAACTGAATTATCAGAATCATACATACATAAATATTTTAATTTATGCAAGCAGAAATTGTCAGTTTCTCTTTCAGATAAATGCATCCAAATCTACACATACATTTAATCTAAATTAATTATAGAGATCAACGATCACTAATAAATTTTTCAACAGGAAAAAGAAAAACATAAATTTCAGGATGGAAAGTAGGAAGATGAATAAAGACATCAAATCTGGAGATCACAATGTGTGGTTGTGGAACATAATTCAGTTAATGGGGATATCTGTATGCAGACTATAGCGTTTACAGCTGATAAATCACAGATGTACGCAGAAATATCTAAACAAAAGGATGTAGATCTATATTGTATAGCCCTCTTGGCAATAAAAATCAATTAAATAATTTAATTAACAAACATTTAATCAGATTTTTTTTAATGCACAATGCCCATTTTTTTCCCAACTTCTAACGTGTCTTACACACTGCCATAAATAAGATACTCTATCATATTTTGTCTGCTCAATAGAAAAGGCAATTATAATCCAATTTCACAAATAACATTTCCAATATTAGAATTGGAATCCAAGCATGTTTCATAAAATTTATAAAAATGGTTGATTTATTATAATAAACTTGCTGCTTTAATAGCAGAGAAAGGGACATGACAACAATAACATTTGTTTCACTTCCATAAAAAAGTATTCCTGCAGAAAATTATTGATAATCCTTATGTTTTAGATTCAAGTGACATTCACTATAAGAGCTAGCAAAATAACTCATATGATTAATAAATATCACAGAAAAGGAAATCTGACAATAACGAATTTTATTGTGAATATACATACATAATTGAATATTAAAAAATCCTTACTACCGGTATAAAGACATGGCAATACTGAAACCATGCATAACAAGTGTGAAAGTTTCATTAACATTTTTCACTTAGATGACCTATTGTTTCTATTAGGTGTCTATTGTTGGGTTTGGTGTGTCATTCAAAAACATTCAGAGAACTCAAGGATTACGATATGTGAACAAATTTATTCGCAGGTTTACCTGTAAAGTGTATATGCATTTTATGTTCCTTAAACAAACAAACAAGAACTTTTTTCTGACTATTAAAGTACCAAAAGTAAGGCCAAAAAAATTCATCAATAGTTTCTCAGGCACCGTCGTATCAGGTCAAAAACTACCGCATTGATCAATTTTATTGGACATATTGAAAAGGTAAATAACTCAATTTTCTATTTTTCAAAGTTGAAAAAAGAAAATCGAGTTATTCCCCTTTTCATAAATGATAATAGCTAGACGTTTTTATAAGATAAAAAATATATTTCTTGTTAATATTGTATTTTTTAATTCACTTTTAAACAAATGTTTGGATAACATTATTTAAAGTTAAATACGTATCATAATTAATGTAAATAACAAACAAAATAAGTAAGAATCAGTTGATGTCATCATTTTTTTGAATGACTGACATGAAAAAAAAAGGTATTTAATTTTAACAATTGCTTCCGAAAAAATTTTGGCTTAAGAAACTACTGATTAATTTTTTTTTTTTTGCCTAATAATATCAATGAATTATTATCGTTTCATTTTTAATACTGAAATCTAATTGTCAGCATTAGCATCCCACTTGGCAATGGGTAACAAAACTATAATGTCACATGCATGTAATTAATGCACATACTGATGTCTGAAGAATTCTCTACACATCAGTTATTCATTCCAAATAAGCCATATAAACAGGGGTTTGTTCAAGAGTGTAGCAGTTACGTAGCCTCTACATAAAGCTACGACCTTGATCATTAAGCTAGCCTTGCCTCAGCGTAGAGAGATCTAGGCATTGAAGCAAAGTACCAAATCCAAGATGACATCCTTACTAGTTACAACTTTGCAGCAAAGATTTTAACAAAAAGGGGATTATTTTCTACATCTAAGCATTAAATGTAAATTTACATATATATTTTTGCTTGAAATAAACTTTTTTTGTTCCAAAAATTAGTTTTTACTGATATAATTTTATCTGAAATCTAACACTTAGTGGCTGAACTTATCTGTCCATTCAATTGAGATAGATATCTAACACCTAGCTGCTACTCAGCTAGGTTAGCCTCTACAACCTTGAATGCAGCCCAGGATCAGTGTTCCAAGTTGCAACTAAAATGGTTGTATTTGCAACCAAAAAATCAATTTTGTGACCAGAAATTATAACTAACTCACATTTTCGTGAATGAGAAAAATATGCTGAGGTTATATTTAACTACATATGAAATTTTGAGCCCACTTACATCTTTTCTTCAAAGTTTAGGCTTAGGCTGGACTTCTGACAGACAGACAGATAATCAACCATGCAATAACCAATAGTGCTAGACATAATCAATGTAAGCTATCATTTAATGTCATTTGTATCAGTAATTCCTGGCCCATATTCTACTGGTCATAGCAATTAAGATCAATATCTTAACTTGCTTTCAGAGTAATAGATGACTGACAGTATGTAACCTGGACAGACATTTACTGTGGCATCTCTAAACCGAGAAAATTCCATTTTAGATATTATTATAATTACAAAGTACACACTCTAAGTTAAATACAATACACACTTCACTATAGGTGTATTGTGTTAGTATGTACTGAATTATCTGCCCCTGATCTTCTCCACTAACTCATTCATTGGTGCTGACCCAGCTCGTACAACAACAAAGAAAAATGATGAATGATACTCACAGCCTTGTCCTGGTGCTGGAAGTAAATGGAGGAACAAAACATAATCACAACGGCAGAACATAAACAAGCCAATCAGAACATTTCTACATGTTAATTGATTGTCATGTCTCATCAGTTATTTTTTCTTGTTTACAGTCTCGGTAGTTAACCAACCATTTAAAAGTCTTATTGACTCTCCATTTTAAGCTTCATATTTATTATAAATTGTAATTTCAGTACTAGGAATTGACATGGTTAATTTTCAACATACATACATAATTTTAACTTGTCTTTCCGAAATTAATTTTTTTTTTTTATAATCTAAACTTTCATTTGATTCATGTTGATACCCAATTGGAATATTAATCTTGAATGAGCTTTGATTTTTTTTTTTAACCCTATTACTTTTCTTTCCCAACTGAGGAAACATGCAGCATACATAAACTACTCATGTTTTAATGAAACCAAACTATTTTCATGATATGGTTTACAAAATGACCCATGAGCAATAAAGATAGTTAATGTATCTAAAAATGAAGTAACCAATTTCAAAAAAATTAATTTAACAAAACATGCTTCACTCAAATAAATTTTGACCTTCATACACTTTCAAGAGAACTCCAGAGATCAAATGTTTTTCGCTTTATTAAATGATAAATATTTTAATGAGCTGATTTTATGCAACAATATGCAATATAAAACACAGTGATGTCACATTTAATTTAAGCCACTCTTGGTGTACTCCGCAAAAAAATCTGGGTAACAAAATATTGAAATAAAAAACAATGTGGATTAGGTTTAAACATGTATAATGGCACACCTTGTGTGAAATCACATAACTTACCAGGTAAATTGTCCAACATATAGCTGAGAAGCTTTTGTGTTCCATTTGGCTGGTTATAGATATTGAGAATCTCTGGACTCAATGGGTTCCCCTTCAAACCTACAAAACAAAGAACTTGTCAAGGCTCAGAAAGAAAAGAGGCCACTTGTTTTCATTTTTGTTGTGTTCTTCAGAAATCTAATTACTACATTAATTCTGTCTCCTATGTAATTTGATATTTGGACCCAAGAGGAGTAACTCTAACTGACATTGAGCTGTGCACTGTTTCAAAGCTGCACATTATAAATGGCAAAAAATAATATTTCAACTTTTATGATCAAAATATATTTGACATTTGAACATTATACAAGAATCTCTTGCAGCTCAATAGCCTTGCAAGTACTTGTTCTGAAAATCTGTTGCACAGCATCGACAGCTAAAATTGTCACTTCTACAAGCATACATACAGATGACATTGTAAGTGTACAATACAAATCTACAGCATGTGTATTACATCATCATCAACATTCTCTATGAATGGTTTCATCCTGCAGTGTGTACACAAACAACTTACTTTTGGGATTAATTTAAGTGAGTATATGAATTGTTCACTATCAATTTATTAATTTTAACCAGAGATCAATGGTTTAAGTATGACTGGTGAGTTTTTACTGATTTATCATTTGAGAGATGTAATGGTTAATAATTGTAAATTATAAAATAAAGCTCATGGTCTGCAATCTTTATCTTAGGTTGTATGTCAATAACAAATCTTGTCTGATTTGTGTGTGAATACAATGAATTAGTAAATATATGTCAATATTAAACATTTACCTTTTAATCTTACTATGTCATTTATATACTATGTCACCAGAATCTATATTTACCAAGTATAATTTCATAAGCATATGTGCTAGATTTTCCCCCAGTTATTCCTTATCCTTCAATAGGTGGATTTAAGTCTTGGCTAATGTTATAAGAGTATAATTTAATTTTGTTTGTATTCTAGCCTCTGATTGGTTAATATCCAAAAAGGAACACGAATTATTTCTGTGTAACCTGGTTTGGTATGGGGACACACCCCCCTGACAACCAGCTGAATCGTCTGTATCCATGCAATCCGCTCATTTCCAGTCCTCGGGATTCATGGAAAATTCCAGATTTAATAAATGTACCTTTAACTTCAAACAGTAACTCGGATCTTACCACATAAACAAAAAACATGGCTGCTAGGACTATGTATCAGTTTTTACCTCCCCTCGCTTCCCATCACTTCCGTTACTAGGGTTGTATTATTGAGCGGCAAATTTGAACTAATAAAAAGCAACGAAATTTTACACCCACAGTTGTTTAATGATTTTAGAATTAAATTATAAGGAATGACTCTAATTCTTGGCCAAATTATTTGGCCAAGAATTAGAGTCATTCCTAAAATAAATACCAAACTGTCGGACTTAAATACCAAACTATCTTTTCATCAAATTTGATCCAGGTCAATTAAATTTACTCCTTAGTGTAAATTGGCTTTAAGAAAGGGCAATAATTTCTTCATATGCAGGTTCCTTTTAGTAAGAAAAAAGTCAATTGAATTTGAGGTCCACAAGATCTGGAAAGTGGCAATACAACATCTTACAAAAACTATATACTTCATATTGAAGCTAATTTTATTCATGTCTCTTATATTTTACTTACTTTTCTGAGCTAGCTTTATGAAGACTGCTTTTCCTGTATTTTAATTATTGTCTTTCAATTTATATATATATACGTTTATTTTAAGTTAAAAGGAATTTATTTTTCAGGTTAAAGAATATTGAGAAAAGAGAAAAAGAATGACCATCAACCCTATATCAATTTTACTGAGAATAATAGGGGAAAAAAGAACCAAAATTGGGACTTGATAATTTCTTTGATGTTTTCACAGTTAAAAAAATGCACCAAATAAAAGACAATTTTAATAGGTGAAGCAGCCGTACCTAATGTCTGTAAATTAAACAGCTTTCCAAGCTCAAACGGTAGCATCCTGATCAGGTTGTTGTTGAGCAGAAGTTCCCTGAGTTGAGAAAGGTCACCAAGCTCAGACGGCAAGCTCCTCAGTTTGTTACTGGACAAATCTAAGTAGGTCAGCATAGTCAACCTGTTTATTTCTGGAGGGATTCTTGTAATGCTGTTTAGATTTAGGTACAGAGAGGTCAAATGCTGTAGTTTCCATAAATCTGGACCCAGGTTTCTCACAGTTCCTAAAAATATTATGTATTCAATTCTTCATTATGGAAGTCTTACATCTAATGGTATAGAACAAAATAAATACATATAAACAGTAAGACATAGTGCATTTCAAAAGCAAATAAATATTGATTGCAAGACTTGTTTACCTTATATTTAAACAATAAAGTTCTTTCTTTGGTTGTTAGTACGGGAATTAATGATACAGCTGTTGCAGAAAAAATACATAACCAGCATAAGCGAGTTATGCATTTTTTTTCTGCAATAGCTGCAATATTAATTCCCAAACTAACAACCAAAGACATTTTATTGTCTATATTTACATCTGCATAAATAATAACATAAAGTAAGATCAAGTATGTTAAATATTATATTATTAAAATGTACATCATTATATGTTTCATTGATAGAACAAATCTATACAGATGGCTTGCTTTATGGCATTTACTGACTGATTAATATTAACAACCGTGGTTTTCTTAAGAAATAAAGGGGATCATATTTAGTGGATGTAAATATTCATCAATGAATGCATATAAAAGCATTTTAATGGCAGTTTCAGCAGGTCATAATTCATGGTCCCTTTTGATTTGTCTATTCATTTTTGTCTTTACAATGACAATGAATGAATCAAATGCAATAACCAGATCTGAAAAGTGTCTCCTTAAGATTATCTCCAATATCTCCAATTCTAATACATTTACATGACATCATAATGTGCCTTTTATATCACAACTGCTAAATGGTTGTAACAGATTTACTCTCAATATAAACTTCTATATACATCTACTTCACTTGTCTCAAGGGATTCACATGTTGTCATGGCAGAAATCAACACAAGAATGTTGAGATTGCTTGTACTATAAATCTTTGTTTTTGAAAAATTTGTTAGAAAATGAAAATAATGCCATTTGGTCTCTACTTATATAAATTTAGAAAAATTCTTAATTTCAGTTTATTATTGCCTTTTAAACTTGCAATTGGAATACCAGTATTACCACCAATAAATACTTACCAGTAATTTCTAATTCAGTCCATGTGGACTTTTTTCCTGCCGCTACATCTTCGGCAGACATGAATGTATGAGTCCGTCGAGGATTAGGAGAGTCGTACTTGTCATATTTGTCTCTAGGCATCTTCTAACCTGTCAGCCATTGATAACATGAATAAATGTAGATCAGTACACTCACTGTTGGGGGCACTGAATTCATGAAGGATTTCTTCAGACATTTTCCTAGTATTATTTTAATTAATAATTCCCAACATTTACTTATCAAATACAACACTTCAGCTTTATATAATAAGTGTTTTGTTTTTGTTTTGTTTTTTTTGTAATGCTTAACATAGAATTATATTACACTCTCACAGATTCTGAACAAAAAAAAGATAAGCTCCATCTATTTTACTAGGTCATCCAAGACCTTCGTATAAGCTGTTGTTATGGTCTGTGTGCTATTAATAAACTCTGACTGACAAGTCAAAACCCAATCATTTTTTTCAGTACTTTCATTTTTAAGTAACTTTTTTTGGTTTCGAGGAAAATAGAGATCATTTCATTTTAACATATAAAAGGTTTATAATTTCTCTAAGAAGCTTTTTCAACTGAACATTTTCATAAGCAATAAATATTAATAAAATCTGTCTAACTGTCTAGTGTATTTTAATGTTTCAAAGCCTGTGGTTTTTATAACAATTATCAATTTGTTAGAAACCATAAGATACTGCCAAAAAAAAACAAAAAAAAACTACCTGCCTACCTACCCACCTTGAGAAATGTGGGTCAAAGTACATCAAATAAATTTTTTTTACTGATGGCCTTACAGGACATACGTCCAGTAAACTGAATAAAGGTATAAAAAATCCTAGATCTGCCATAAAGTCACAGGGCATTGTGATGATTTTTAAAAAATACTTTTTATTCATTTGTTTATTTTCTTTAATAAATTATCTTTCAAAAAAGTAATTTTTTGCCATTTCCAACCAAATCATCAAATGGCTTTAAGAATTGATGTCAGCTTTTCAGCTACTTCATCACCTAACAAGAAATTGTGTCAAGTATTGAAAGAGAGTATTATTTACACTCGAATTTGTATGAAAGCATAAGTAAATGAAATACACCTACAATGCTGCGCAATATCTTGTTGAGTTTATAAAGCATCTTTAAAGTCTTAAGTTACGTATTAACATTATATACATGAACTGCCATAGATGTATAGTCTATTGGCCATTTCAAAAATATTTAAAGGTGACAATAAAACCTTTTCAAAATATACAGTGTTATTTCCTTAAAACTTGGTTTTATATTAAGTAGTCACTATTATGGCAAATGTATTACTAAATTTTGGTTGAGATTAGTATATTATGGTAAGATAGAATATTCTATTTTTTAAATCATATTGTCCTGAATAGACCCAGTTTAACGATAGAATTTGTTTCATGTGTTAGCAAAATAAACAGGGGCAGATAACTTTAATCTACACATCCTGAGAGTTACAAATGCCAACATGACAGGTAAATTCAAAGAGAGAAAAAAGTTTCAGAAAATGAGTTGAATTTTTACAAGGATTATTTTTTAAGGCTTAAGGCATATACAAGCTTATAAAGATTTGTTTTGATTAATTTGGTAGTTATTTTCACTGCAACTCCTTTTGTATCCTTCAAAATCATTTTGGAGCAGATCCACTCCAATTTGCTACATTGCAACTATATGGGACACATTCTAACTGTGGTGAGCCTGAAGGCTTGTCCTGAGACGGTATAGGGTACGTTCGCGCTATCTATCTGTTCGCATGAGTCTGTTTCCACAGTATCTATTCGCCATAATTCTTGTTCACCCTGCATCCTGTTTGCCATATATGCTATTGCCCTATTGATGATATTTTATGTCATCATTATCGTAATATTTTAAGTAATTTCTATTTTTTAAATTTTGTTATTAAATAGAACTAGTAAACTTTTTATATATTTCCTTTCCATCATTATTGACCTTTTTTTTTCGATTTTAATGTTTATCAAATAATCGGTTTAATTGTTGTTTAATTTAGTACTGTAAGTTAGGGAATACTTTATTTCTTTTGCTTTTTTAAGGTTCATATTACATGTATGTTTTGAGAAATAATTAAGGAAATTCTGATGTGAATCATGTTTATAGGCCATTTTAATTGGGGATGATCAGCGTCTGAGTAACTGGTTCATTTTTGGATGAATCTTTCATTATCAACTTAATATAACATTATAAAATATTACTAATAAATTAACGAGTATCAAATCGATTACTTTACAATTTCTTTTTATTTCTTCATCCCTATACTGAAACTTGAAGTATAATAAATTATAATCTAAACAGAAAATTCATGAAATTGAATAAAATCAAAGGAAATTATGAAAAATTAACCAACTAACATATGAAGGACGAACTGACTTTGCGCGAATGAGTTTTAGAGCAAATGGACTCTAGGCGAACCTGTTTTAGGGTGAACAAACATACATTCTCCCGGAGACACAGTTAGATTATTCTTACTACAAAGATAGTTAGTTAAAAGAAAATGGGTGCTATTAAACTGCCCTTGAAGTCTGATTGCCTAGATTTTATAATTGAGAGAACAGAGATGAGATGAATGTAATTATTCAACATTGTAAAAAATGCATGAGAACAATGTAAATTTGTGGGTTAAGTCGAACTTAATTAGTACAGAACTTAAGAAAAGATAATGTAACAGCCTTTTTATAAATAATATCTTTTAGTATGACGTAAAAAATTATATAAAAATAAAGCATTTAAAAAAATAGCTTATTCTTACGAGGGAATGGACTCGTAATATTGTTCGCAATCCCAAATTCAAACAATATAAACAAAAAGCGAAATTAGACATTTGCGCATTGTATTGCTGTACATCATACTTACCAAATTACAAATTTAATAATCAATTCAATCTCAATTACTCATTAAGTTAAAACGTTACCTTCATCGATATCTGAAAGGAATTCAAAAATATGATGCGTTTTCTTTGAAAATCTTCAGCTTCGATAAAATTTTGTGAAGAAAAATGGCCACTACGTTTGTAATATTTTAGATAGTTCGTTCATGATTTACATATGTTTGTAGGTGAGTGAATTTCTTCACAACAACATTAATAAACAAGGGTTTTGTAACATACCTTAGGAGATCAATATTATTCTCCCTATTTTGTTTTTCACTGCACAAAAATATTGCGCGACTTATTCAAAATCAATAAACAGAATTTTTTACGTTCAAAATAATTAATTTTTAAAATGGCGGCCTCCATAGGTGTGTACCATCTCAGGAATATAACACGTTTAATTACTTATATGTTTGCATATATATTGTAATATATATTGTAAAACTTACAACAAAACCATATTTTATATTATGGTTAGGTTCAAGATTAAAATTCCTCTTTAGATTTATAATACGTCTCCTTACAATCATTATATTTGATGTTGTATTAAGAGGAAATTCGAAAAGTTTATCATTTGAAGAGTTAGATTGTATTCTTAGCAATGTCAATTCTAAGGGACACAAATTTTTATATTTTCACACTCTTTATTTTATTAAGCTTAGAGGTCACTGTTAAATTGAAGCACCATAAGCAATAAGCAACACAATAATTATTTCACTATCACCTATGGCGTGATTAATTAATATTTAAATCTTGCTATCAGAACACACATGACAAATGCTCACAATTTTTTTTTTACCATATCTTATGGGTTGCTCAACAGGAGCAATCCTCTATTTTAATTCAGGTGAAAAACATTATGCAATCAACACAGCTGCTCTAGAGTAGTTAGAATGATCTAAGTAAACTGTGTGTCAGGACAAGCCCTCACCACAGTTGGAATATGTCCCATATAGTTGCAATGTAGCAAATCAGAGTATATCCGCTCTGAAATGATTTTGAAGAATAAAAAAGGAGTTGTGCTGAAAATAACTACCAATCAAAACAAACCTTTTCAAGATTGTATATGCCTTTTAACTTAAAAAATAATTCATATAAAGTCGAAAATTCATTTCATTTTCTCAACATTTTTTTCTTGCTTCAAATTCACACACCATGTTGACTCTCAGAACTCTCTGGATTGTTTATAGGAAATGCACAGAGTTAAAGTTATCTCCCGTGTTTATTTTGCTACATTGCCAATACACAGAACAAATTCTATCATTAAACTGCATCCGTAGGACAATATCATTTTAACGATAGAACATTCTATTGTACTCTAGAGGAGCAGCAAGTATTGGAATATGTACATGTGGTGGTCAGGCAGGTTTGATAGCTCAGTTGGTAGAGCACCCTCACCAGTTACATTTGGTGCCATGCCATGCCCTGGAGGTGGCAGGTGAAAGACCTGCCAGTGAGGACCCAGGGTTGGTGTCTTTGGGGGGGCTAAAACATTTAAAGAGGGAGGATTATAGATAGTAGGCCAGTGGCCAGATAACTCACCTGACTAGTCATTCAGAGGGCCCAGATTGCAATATCAGTATGGTCCTTCACATTTTTTTCCCTTGCTGAATACATATGCATGGGTTATGAATTCAGAATATTAAATTTTTGACTGTTTATTAAAACTTATACTAATAGCAAACTCAGCTAGGGACACAAAATGCTGCTTGCACTGCAAGCTCTTAAAGTAATACCAAGGCAAAGAAAAAATTAGGACTGTGCACATTTATCTAAATGAATTTTTTCTGCGGTAACCTCTGGACCCACAATGCAATGGAATTAGATTGTTTTTCCATAACTGCGGTAATGCTCCTTGGCTCACATTCAAGATAACCAATGAAAAGTTCGTCAGCTCACTTGCAAAGAGAAAATAGATAGATTAGATATTCTCTGTTAAATGTTAGCCTTTTTTTTGAGACTTTGTTTTGGAAATGTAATTTACATACAGCGTCATGTGACGTCAAAGTCTAGATGTTCCAAATGTCTTTACAGTTTGAAGAAGCGGATCTAAGTTCTATTTAAAGCGAATAGATATCTAGTAATAAATTATAAACAACTGCACTCGCCCCCACAGTCGCACTGTCAGCATATTAATATTTTATCTTGAAATAAAAACGTTATGTGTACATAAAGTTTTTTGATGTTGTATTTTTCAGTATATAATTTATCTAGAGCACGTTCCATTTCAAAGCTCCTGAATTCTACAGTACCTGTACTGGTACCAGCATGCTCATTAAACAAAGGAATAAAAGCAAGAACTAGGTCTTACAAAGAAAATGAAAATAAAAAAGTATGGACTCCAAAGTAAGTATTATTTTCAAATACTGTAGATTCCTTATTTTACGCGAGTACTTAATATCACGAATTGGACCAAGGACGTCAAATCGCGAGAACAACAATTCGCGAATGGGTGATTTATCTAGATATTTCATATACATTAAAGCATCATAAAAATAAAAGCGAGTAATTTTATTTCATGAGCGGTGCTTCTCGCGTAATTACGCGATAATTTATTTCTCGCGTATATTTAGGAATCTACAGTACCCGATTCCTCACTCCAAAACAAATAATATTTTTATGGTTATTCCTTCCAAGGTCACAATACTGGATCTAACAATTACAGCAGTCATAGATGTTATCTAGGAAGTCAAATTATCTTTCTATTCAGTATTAATATGCTCTGTCTAGGAACTTATTTTATCTTTTTATCTAGCAATCTCAAAATTCATGTAGGAAGTCATATTATCTCTCTGTTTAGCAGTCACAGGCTTTTTAAAGAAGTCCTAGTATCTCTCTATGCTTTAGGAAATCATTATCTCTATTTAAGAATCATAGATTTTATCTAGGAAATCATATTATTTTTCGATTCAGCAATCACAGGCTTTATCTAGGAGTTTTTGTAATTTCTCTATTCACCAATCACAGGCTTAATCTAGGAAGTCACAGTGTATTATATTCAACAGTTACAGGCTTTATCTAGCACAGTGTTTTGAGACAATCTAAGCAAAAACTGATGTCTAGTATTATACTAAATGTGAGTTTTTGCTCAAATTGTCTCAAGACCCTTTGTTACCTAGGCCATTCTGAGAAGTCATGTAAACTCTCTATTTAGCAATCACAGGATATGTATAAGGGTATTCTTGGATGTTTTCAGTAGTTTCATTAGCTTGCCTGAGCTGAAAGCCAAAGTGGGCTTTCTGATCACCTGTTGTCTGGCATCCGGCCAGCTGTCTGTCCAGCTGTATAGCTGTCCATCTGTCTGTAAACTTTTCACATGGACATCTTCTTCAGAACCACTGGGCCAATTTTAACCAGTGCTGGCACAAAGCATCCTTGAGTAAAGGGATTCTAAACTGTACAAATGAAGGGTCAAGCCCCTTACCAAAGGGAGATAATCAAGATAAGGCAAAAATAGAGTAGGGTCACTAGAAAATCTACTCAAGAACCACTGGGACAGACAGGAGGAAACTTATGTGAAAGCTTGCTTAAGTATTATAGATTCTAAACTGTTCAAATCATGGCCCAAAGGGGCAGGATGGGTCTACAATGGGAAATCAAAGTTGTACATTGAACACATAGGAAGAAATCTTTCAAAATCTTTTTCTTAAGAATTACTGGACCAAAAAAAAAAAAAGAAACTTATGTGAAAGCTTTCAGATGTAGCATAGATTATGAATTGTTCAAATCATTTTCACCAGGGGTAGAGTGGGCCACAATAGGGGATCATATTTTACTTTGGAATATATAGGAAGAAATCTTCAAAAAAAATCTTTTCAAGAACCACTAGACTAGAGAAGATGAAACTTATGTGAAAGCTTCCAGATATTGTGTAAATCCTAAATTGTTCAAATCATTGCACCCAGTGGTATGGTTGAGCCATAATAGATTAGGAAATCAAATTTTACATTGAAATATAAAAAAAAAAATCTTTAAAAATCTTCTGCGAGACCATATTAGTCATATTGATATTGAAGCATCCGATGGTGTGTGGATTCAGAGACCCTTAAGAGTTAAGGTGGGGCCATATTGTGGGGTCACAATTTTTCATGGGAATATGAAGGAAAACAATTTAAAAATGTAAGAACATGTGGAACCAAAGGTGCACTGTTTTTTCAGATGTACAAAATCATAAGGAAAAGATTTTTTTATTTCTAATTCTGTTTTATTTCAGAGCAAGGAAAGTGGTTTTGGAGGAGAAGAAACAAGACACAGAGTTTTTATCAAGAGTTCCTGATGATACTGTTTATTTTCTGGACTTCTTTCCAGAAACTGAATTTTCATTAAAGGATGCTATCAAACTGCAGCTGGATTATGCAGATCCTATGATTCTGAACAATATTGAGGGAGTTGTATATTTAGATGTCATCTGTAACATGAAAACTAAGAAGCAGGTAAAAGAAGACTTGTGCTTGCTGATGATTATGTTTCAGTATTGTTTCACAAGTGATATTTATTATCCTCAAATCACAGCACAGTAAAGGCTCCAAAAGGAGGCAGGACCTAATTTATATTTGTTATTTACTATGACATCACACAAAAAATATCTTTTTTAACACAATAACACTTAAAAATACCACAAAATGAAATGTTTTGCAATTTTAAACTGTAGGAGAGCTTACTATTGCAATCAGTTTTGTGGTAAGACACACTAGATTTCACTGGCAAACCTTTCCATGTCAGCATCCTCTATCACTTAGATTTCCAGGTCCATCTTAAGATCTATTGTTTACATTACACTGTCATTTATTATAAGTGATCCTGTAAAATAATCATTTACACATTTCACATAACAAGCAGACCTGAAAATTATCATGATGACTTAATGTCAAAATGATGCTTTGAACTTGTGAATGCCACAACATATTAAACAATTCAGAAGTTAGGATATATGTAGGTAATTTCATTACACTGCAAATGATACAGCTGAGTATAATTCATGTAAATATTTTTGAAAAGGTATATACAATTTTTTAAATGATGTAGATATCCTTGATAATTCTTTTAAGATCCCTGTTTAAAAATCACAGGAGCACAGAAGCTTGTCAGCTCCTCTGGGGAGTAAATACATGTAATTGGGGAACTTCTATGAAAATTTAGATTACAATGTTATGTTGATTTTCCCAAGTGGACAAAAAAAATCGGTTGTGATAATGATTTGCTTAAATTCTTTGTGTACATACAACTCAGTATATATATATCATATATAATGTTAATATATTGTTAATCATTTTTTTTTTCAGACCAAATTTATATCAGAATTCTCAGAAAGGTTATTTTTACCTCACAGTTTTGAAGTTGAGTGTCCAAGAAGATGTTTAGTTTTCTGTAAGGTAAGCTTGAGGTATAGGGAATTCAAGCACACTCACAACTTTTGGTAGTGTTTCATTGCTTGTGTAATTTACAACAATTTTTGTGTCGCCTGCAGAGCGACACTTGGGGAACTTTACCCTGCATCTGTCTTTCTGTCTTAGCTGTCTGTCAGTCTGTCACATCGCGTATCTCAATAACTGTAAGAGGCATGGATTTGATATTTGACACAATGGCTTTTGTAATTTACCATGATTACTGACCTTGTGACCCTTGACCTTTGACCTACTTTTCAAAATAGTTCATAGTGCTTATATACAGCATATGTTTAGCATTTAAGAGGTAAGTCTATGCTATTTAGCATGTGCACTGTTTGTCATAAAACATTATGAAAAATGCCAGTGTTACAATCCACTTGACTTTGACCCTTTGACCTGCTTTACAAAAAATACCCCAGACTGTTTAATTTAACATGTCTTTTGAATTTTGAGATGCAGGTTTTTGATAATTAGCATTTATACATGTTTACGAACTTATGATACTGTACTTTGAAACTGTATGATATTTAGCTACCACACTATCTTGTAATTCAAATTCTATGAAAATACATCGGGATCGGTATTCCACAATGGATGGTGTTGACTGACAATTGTAGTAAAGAGAGACTGAAATCTATTTTGGAAGATTGTTGAAAACATGTACTAATAAAATGATAAATAATTTTTTTTTAATAATTTCAGTTTAGCTATTCATTTGAGGGTTAGGGAATATTTTCTTTGATTGTCAGATTGTATCACAGTCTTATACTATCCGTGAATGTTTTTTTTTACATGAACTCTAATGCTAGTAGTAAATAAATAGCTGACCACTCTTAGAATTATTTGCATCTTTAATGAAGCTACAAAGCAGGTGAACACTCTAGTTTCTAAATCTAGGATGAAAGGGAGAGTAGGGGATCATAATCATTTGCTAGGGATGACAATCAGAGACCATTATTTAATACACACCACTGTAAATGCTTATTTTCATTTCCGTACACAACACTGTAAATGCTCATTTTCATTTCCAAAGTACAGCTTTTACTGATTGGGTGACAATATTTGTTGAACAATGCCCATTTTATACGTAAATAGATTTCCTGTAAAATCGATTGTTATGTTACATTTGACTCTAGATAAACTTTTGGGGGAGGGGGATGCTTGTTGAGATATGTTATACTATCAATGGAATAACAGGGTCAGATGTGACTTTGGTGAGAAGTATGAACAATTTGGCAATTATAATTGTCAAGTTTCATGTAATCAAAAGTAGAATGTTAAAACTAAAAAACATTTTGCTAAACATCAATACAAGAAGGACAAATGTATGGCTAATATCTGCCCTGCCTGATCTTCCAGTGATGTGGTTTACAAGGCTAATTCTGGTTAAGATTCTGTCACACTATGATTACAACATAATTGTAACATAAAATCCTTGTTATTTTGCAGACAGAGGAGGATATGTCAACTGCACAAAAGTTAGGGGCAGTTTATGTTGGGGATGAATCACTTTTACAGAGGGTAAGTTATATTGAGATCAGAGAAGAAATATGCTCACAGCAGATAAATTAACATCAGAAATGAATCACTCTAACAGTGGGCCAGTTTACATCAAGGATGGAACACTTTTACAGTGGGTAAGTTTATGTTATGGATGAATCACTATTACAGCTAGTAATTTTACTTAGTGGATGAATTACTCTTACGGTTTACATTTGGGATGAATGACTCTTACAGCAGGTAAGTTTACATCTGCAATGAATCACTTTTACAGCAGGTAAAGAGCAAGAGCCACTTAGGGCCTTTTTTGGCCCTGTGAATTTTTGAAAATTCAAAACTGTATACTTTTAATCAACAAGGCAATAAATAATACTTGAGCACTTGGCGAATGAATATCTACTGAAAATGACGTAATTTTCTTTCTAGTCAATGCATTATGACGTCATGAATTTCGTCATTATTCACATATCCTGAATATTTCTTCAAAAATGACCAAAATATGATGCCATTTTTCAATATTTCATATACAGCACAACCTTCAATCCAAAGTGTTCAAATATATTATAAAAGAACTGTTAATGAAGATTATAAAACATATTTTAATTTTTGGATCGAGGGGTGTGCTCATATTTTAATTCTTTGCTGAAGGTTCTCAAAAACACCTGTTTTCTGCAAAATTCCATAACATTGCAATTTCACACAACCTGTTTTTCAATGCCTGAACTCTTCAAAGGAAATTCTGTTATACAAACAGAGAGCACTAAGTCTCTACTTTATATTAATGTTGAAAATGGTAGACGGGGTATTAGTCAATAAATTGGTATATCTACAGGGCCATTTTATGCATAAAGTGAACCTAGCTCTTTACACTTGAAATGAATCTCTTTTACAGCAGGTAAGTTTACATCTGGAGTGAATCATTCTTACAGCAGGTAAGTTTACATTATGGATAATCATTCTTACAGCAGGTAAGTTCACATTTGTAATGAATCATTTAAACAGCAGGTAAGTTTACATCTGGAATGAATCACTCTTACAGTGGGTTAATTAGTTTATATCGGGCTGAATCAATCTCAAGGTGGGTTAGTTTATGTCCGGATGAATCAATCTTACAGTGGGTTAGTTTATGTTGGCATGAATCAATCTTAAGGTGGACAATTTTATGTCATGAATGAATAACTCGAACAGCTGAGAAGTTTACTTTGGGGATGAAACACTTGACCAGAGGGTAAGATAGATACTGGGTAGGTTTATGGAAGCAGAACGGTTATCTCACCGTCATCAGTTTTATAAGCTCCTCTGAAGCAGACAGATGCTCAAGTGAGCTTTTCTGATCCAAGTTTATCATTCACCTGTTGTCATTTATGTTTCACATTTAAACCATTTCAATAACTACTTAACCAATCTTATTATAACTTAGCACAGCATATTTTTGGGTGAAGGATAACAAAATCTTTTAAAAGAAGGACCAGGTTTCTTTCAAAGGAAGATTACCGGTATCAATGAATGTAAAAAAAGGTTTGTTAAAAAAACTGGTCTAAAACCAATGGACCAGAAGAAATAAAACTGAAGTTGAAGCTTTATTAATTGGTATACTGTGTATATTCAGGTTTGAATCAGATCTCAGTTTCAGGTTTCTTTTTCAGCTGGACCGTAAGAAAGGAGATTTGACAAGAAATGACTTTGACCTAGTTCTCTGTATCCCAGAAATGCAAGAGGCACTATTTCCTTTGCGGAATCACGTGTTGAAAGGCATATACCCATCAGCAGAAACATGTGAGTGGCCCAGAATTTGTCACTGCTTTATGTATGTGAGTTGAAGATCATTATGGACAGTTATCTTGATTTGACATCCCTAAATCTTACTACACATAGATGTTCTTTTGTAGTTACACTGGGTACAGATATTGAACAGATGATGCTTAAACAAAAGGACTGTATTTCCTATACGTGTAAGAAGGAGGGACCAACGGGAAGAATTCAAATTCCTATTGGAAAGGTAAACATAGAAAGGGATCAGTAATTAAAGATAATAACTTTTCTGTCATATATCTAATGGTTCTGATAAAATAATGCAAAATAAATCTATGATTTCTCTATTGAGCTTACAGGTAGTTTTAGTTCATTTTAAGGTCAGGTGACGCATTCCTCAATTTTGTGTAATTTTTCCAGGAATTTGTGATTAAAATATTACTACTTTAACAAGTTTCCTCATTAAAAAAAAAAAATCAAGGTACATTACCAGGCATCTATGTAATATTCAGGACAATGGTATTTCCTATACATGTATTACCCCAACGGAAATCATTTTAATTGCTGATATAATTTTTTTAATTCATACATTTTTTGAGACATTTTGAAAGATAAGTTAGAAAAAGTATACATTCAGGAAAGAAAAAAAATATTCAAGTTTGAGGGAAAAAATACAAAGAGAATATTACATACTAAAATCCATATCTTACATCATATCAACTGAAGTGGTACCATATCAGCCCGAGGCTGAAGGGCCAAGGAACTGATATAGGGCCTGAGTATGGATATGACATATTATATGGATTTACCGTATCATATACAGTCAAACCTCTTTATCTGGAACTGCATGGGATCAAGAAAATACTTCAAGGTATCCGAGGATTCAAGATATCCAGGGTAAAATACTTAAGAAATGAGCACTTGGGACTTTAAAATCACTTCAATATACATGTATCCATGGTGTTCAAGATATCAGTGTTCCTGTTCAACTGTATTTTAAGAAATTTGAGACCAGATCCTTCTGAATTCTAAGATCAAGATCTCGTAAATATGATTATACTGCCTTTTTAGTCCTATATCCATTATAAAGATGTTGTGATTAATTTAAATTTACTTTTTCCAAACTTTATGGCTATAATTTAACTTCATATACCAGGTATGTAGTATGAAACATTATTGTCCCACGCTTTCATGAAAGTGAGGGGACATTGAATCCCATTCATCTGTGTGTCAGTCTGTTCATCTGTCAGTCTGTCTGTCACAAAAACTTTAACCTTGGTCATAACTTTTGAGGGAGAAGAGATAGGGCTTTCATATTTCACATGTACATTACCTGTGAAAAGACCTTTCCAATTGTACTAGGATTTTTTTAAACCCGTGACCTTGACCTGAAGTTTGTCCATCTTTTGTGGTACATTGATCTTGTGTGATTCAGTAAGCATGGATCTCATTATTTATAAATCAGACAACCAAATACATTAATTTCTTGGCTATACATGTACTGTTTTCACAAAGTATCACTGGGACTAATAGAATGAACTCTATAATCACTTATGTTACAATTTTAAACAACAGGCATGATCAAATTTCAGTTAAGCATGGGGATAGAAAAGATTGTGGATAACTTTGACTATTTCTTCACATCTCTGTTACAACATCCCAAAGCAGCTCAAGTCAAGCCAGGAGGTAAGGGGATTTCTTAACCAAATTTTTAAAAGAAAACTGAAAAAAAATTCATATAAGTATACATTGCACATAATGGAATTTCCATTACCTGTAAAAAAATGTGAAGACCTGTTTACAATAATGTTATAAAGAAACTAAATATTAGACTTAATCTTCTCTACTAACATGTATTAACTCATGCAGTAATAAAGATGTAGCAGTGTGGTCTATTTCTTTTTAAGAAAATTTTGTGACTTCTGCACGATTACTTGTTCCACCGTGTGCTGAGCAGCTAAAGTTAAAAGATGAGGAACTTCAACGATTTGTGACGTCTACTTCTAATAAACGAAAATCACAGAAAGACACTCAAAAGGAAGAAGAAGAACAAGAAGATATGCTTGAAGAAATCAAATAGTGAATTTATAATGTAATATTTTTTGTTAAAAATAAAAATATGTGATATATTGTTGTTTGAAGAGTATGTATAGAAATGTTTAACACCGTCCACCCTTTATCATTTCCAGTTATACCCAGATATATCTGTCTGAAGACTTATCTGCAGGACTAGATATGGAAATTAAGAGTCCATATACATAATAAGCAACTGAGTAAAAACTATATGCTAACATTTTTGTCACAGGATATAGTTGAGTACTCTGCATACAACCAACTTAGAAATGCTTTAGTACTTAAAAAAACTTATTTGTATTTACCGGTAAAAAAGACCATAAGGGTCAAACTTTAACTTGACCATGATTCAGTCAATAAAATTACAAAAGGGTCATGGGAAACAATGCTCACCGAAGTCATTTCTTTTTTTGACAAATGAAAAGAGATATTAGAATGAACCCCTTGATTTGAAGTTTATTGGAACTCAAAACATAATTGTTGGAACTATTTTAATATACATTCTATTTGATATCAATTGTATAAAGTGGAAGGCTTATATTCCTCTAGATAAATCTTTGTACTCTTAGGTGGCCCATGCTGACTAAATGGGCTATGCCTTGCTCAACTTGAATTTTTTTCCCTTTGAGGGCACTTACACTTTTTATTTGAGAAATTTTGCTTTTTTCTTTAGTTCCTTATGGGGAGATATTCATTTATATTTCTGGATTAAACTTTGAAGTTTTATTTATGCCCCATACTGAATCGAAGGGACATGACTCTTTCAAATTTGAATCTTCGCAAACAAAAAATATGAAGATAATGAACAGTAATGAAGCTCAAAAGTCCATTGAAAAATACAAATTGTGAGCAGAGCAAACATGGACTTCCAAAACCATCAGAGGTAGGATCAGGTGCCATGGAGGAGTAAACATCCAGTGTTAACCAGTCACTTCTTCCATGTGCTCTTTGTCATGGTCGGGTAAACTGAAAAATCCATAGACAATTCAGTAAAATGAATGGCATAACAATTTGTATGAAAAACATCAGTTAACATTCAAATATCAGTTTCATTGTATTTTTGATGTTCTGAGGAGCATGTTTAGGTCTCCTGAGTCACTCAGGTGACCTATTGCAATCTGTTTTTGTCTGTCATCGTGCGATGTGCATTGTCCATTAACATTTGAACATTTTCAGCTTCTTCTCTGGATCCGCTGAACCAATTTTTGCATAGAGGATCTATGAGTAAAGGGGAACAAAAATTGTGAATTTCATGGTCCCCGCTCTTCTGGGGCCTGAGGGGTGGGGCTAAAACCAACAAAATTAATGTTATCTTTAAAAATCTTCTTTACTCCTGGACATCAAGCAGTCATGCTGTTGGCATGATTGTAATAAGCATTGATCCCTTTACCAAAATTGTGAAATTCATGGCCCCAGGGTGAGGGATTCTGGAGTTAGGGTAGGGATCTTAGATTATATAGTGAAAATGCATAGATTCTTTAAAAAATCTTCCTCTCTCCCTCTGTATATATAGCAGATGTTATGATGAGCAAGGGTGCTTCTTCCAAAATTGTGAAATTTGGGGCCTCAGGGTCAAGGGCTCTGGTGGTGGATGTATTTGATTATATAGTGAAAATGCATTAGTTCTCTACACCCTCTTCTGATATAATTTGTCCTACATATTTAACTTTGGTTTTAAAAAATGAGCATTTCTTTGTTAATAATTTTAAGTTGGCATCTCTGATCCGATCAAACACTTGCTTAAGTCTTGTTAGATTTTCTTCAAATGGCACCTGTACCCGTTTCAGAACTCCCTTCTTGACTCCGTTCTTGAGGACCATCTTCAGATGGGTGTTGATCCCATGCTAGTAGCGACTCAGTGTGTCTTCCACCACGTAGTGCGCCAATCTTTTTGTGCGAGATGCCCGTCTGAAGCGGACAAATCGGCTAGTCGAAAGGCTTAGTCTCAATAGATCGCAGTGTGGTGGCTGCTCTACTAGGTACAACACCCCGACCAAGAACTAAGTCATCTACAAATGATTTTACACTTCTGAAAATCTTCTCTGCTCCTGGGTAATTATCAAGCAATCTAAATGCATAGTTATAATGAGCAAGGAGGCCTCTTCTAAAATTTTGAATTTCATGGCCCCTGGGTCAGGGATTCTATTGATTATATAGTGAAAATGCATAAATTATTCAAAATTTTCTCCACTCCCACTGTATATTTAGCAGATAAACTACATGCATAATTATGATGAGCAAGTGTTCCTCTTCCAAATTTGTGTATTTCATGGCCCCTGAGTCAGGAGTTCTGTGAATGGAGGGTGGCCCTATTGATTATATGGTGAAAATGCATCTAAAATTCTTTGAAAATCCTAGGTATTAAGCAAACAGATGAAGTGTATAGTTATGATGAACAAGGGTACCTCTTCCAGAATTGTGAATTCAATGGCCCCTGGGTCAGGAGTTCTAATGTTAGGCCCCGGCTTTATTGATTATATAGTGAAAATGCATAATTCTTGGAATATCTTCTTCTCTGCTTCTAGATATTTGGGGGTGGGGCTACATTGATTATGTAGGGAAAAATGCATTATATCTTTCAAAATCTTTTCTGCTCCTGGGTATTAAGCAAACAAACTAAATCATAGTTATGATGAGCAAGGGTGCCTCATACAGAATTATAAATTTCATGGCCCATGGGTCAGGGGTTGTGGTGTTTGGGTGGGGCTCTATTGATTGTATTGTGAAAATGCATTATTTCTTTGAAATCTACTTATTTGCTCCTGGGTATTTAGCAAACAAACTTAGTGCATAGTCATGATGAGCAAGGATGCCTCTTGCAAAAATGTGAATTTCGTGGCCCCTGGGCAGGGGTGCTGGTGTTAGGAAGGGTCTCTTTGATAATATAATGAAAATGCATTAATTCTTTGAAAATGTTCTCCTCTGCTCCTGGGTATTTAGCAAATAAATTAAATGCATAGTATGATGAGCAAGGGTGCATCTTCCAAAATTTTGAAATTTGTGGCTCCAGGGGCAGGGGTCAAGTCGACCACTTGGTCAAGTGTTCTGGTGTTGGCAGGGCTCTATTAATTTGTATTCTATTGAGAGAAGTTATTTCCCTTTGCTATTCGCCTATGATAATTAATCACTGTAGATAATGTAATTGAAAGGTCAATTTTATAAGAGATTTGTACAAGAATTTTTATAATATGTTATACAACAAAGTATTTTCATAGTTCTTAATGGTCAAATAGACTTGTTCTTCATAGACCAAGAGAGGCCATTGTGAGAGGAAATGAGACAGGTTTACCAATAGTGCTCAAGCACTATTGTTTTGTTTAGTTTACAAGACAGTTGTTACAAATGGGGACAGGTACAGGCAACTAAATAGATCTAGTTAAGATTTATTAAGGAACACTAGACTAATTATGTTGTTGATCCCTTATCATTATATTTCTTGCTTTTGGATAACATAGTTCATCTTTCATTTTGTTTTATTTTATAAATCTATGGATCTTTTACAGTGTTGTATTATACTCAGGTGACCGTTAAGGGTCTTGGGCTTCTTGTTTATTCACTGGTTAGGTGTAGGATGCTTCAAGAACTATAGTTTCTGGGGTCCCTTTGTCAAAGATCAAGATAATTGCTATTTAGATAATTGTATAATAATAGATATTTACAACATAGAAGGAAAATGGTCAGAGAATGACATCTAGATACAAAAGACATGTAATTTGATTATTTGGTCAAAAGTCAAGTTTAAGATTAATAATAAGACCTTTGTGATGCAAGAACTCTGACATTTTGTAAATGTCAAACTTTACTATGGTACTTAGAGAATGGTTTTGGAGAAAGACACATACAACAGAATTGAAGAGCAGACTGAACTTTGTCACTTTTAGGGGGGATTGCATGTCAAATACTGCTGAATAGATTTTGGATCTTGGATCAAAGTCAAGATCAAAGGTCCACATTGTTTTCATGGCCATTTTGATGCAATAATGTGCATTTTTATACCCTGCTTCAAAAGAAGGGGGTGTATACATGTAGTGATGAGGGTGTCCACATGTCTGTAACACTTGGGGGTTGCCATCTCTTATCCCCAAATCCTCTTATATGCAATCCTCTGAATGCAATTCACTGAAACTTTCACCAAATCTTTATTACATAATGGCATTGAGCATCTATTATATATTTTGACTGGACTCATATTTTGGGTTTCCCAAAGCAAAAATGGAACTGCCATTGTTTCAATTGTATTGGGGGTACCCATCTCTTATCCACAAATCCTCCTATACCACCGAATGAAATTAAAGACTTTCACATAATCTTAGTTACATAGTTCCATAGTGCACCTTCTATTTTTTGTATTTTCCCATTGCAAACCATGGACTTTGCCATTCTTTCTATAATATTGAAGGTATCCATCTCTTGTCTGTAACTCCTCCTACATCACTGAATAAAATTTGAGACTTTCACTGAATCTTTTTTACATAGTGTCATTGTGTACCTCCTATTTCATGTATTTATGGCTTCCCATAGCAAAACATAGACACTACCATTCTTTCTGTGATAATGGGGGTACCAGTCTCTTCCCAACTCATCTTATACCTCTGATTAAGATTTAACGAAACTTTTACCAAATCTTTATTACACAGTCAACAGTGGCATTGAGCATCTCCTATTTTAAGTATCAGACACATATTTTGGGTTTCTCCATAGCAAAAAATGGACACTGCCATTCTGGAGTACCAATCTCTTATCTACTACTCCTATACCTATACTTTGTGCTGATGAGAGAGTTATTTGGAGTTTCCCATTGCAAAACATTGACTTAACCATTATACTCAAATGGGAGGAGGGGTATCATTTTGTGAGTTCCTTGCTCACAGTACCTCTAGTTTTATCCTGTAGTTTTCCTGCTTACTTCAAAGATAAGGTACCCTTCAATGAAGACAACTAATATTTGTTTTCGTGTCACAAATAATGGTTGAGGTTACGGTTACTGGCCATTACACATTATATTAGGTGATACCTATGTACAACAAATTAAGTATCTCTAGTAAAGAAACTTGACCTTGATCAGCAATCCATAGCCAACCCATTAAAATCTAGCTCAATACTTGCAGGCAAGTGAAAAGTCAATCCTATATTGGAATCAACATGGACATTTACTTAATATAACAGATGTAAAATTGTACATTATACAATACCATCACTTCATATTGATGGGACACACAACTATCCTTGGGTATTAAAGGCAAAATTAAGGCTTGTGCAGTCAGAGAGAAAATGGCACAATTGCTCGAGGAACACTTGGCTGAATAAAAACAACTTGTTTTATATTATACAGCTTTTTATTTTATATCAAAATCTATCAGTGGAAAATATCACCTGGAACTGGCCCACTCCTACTGTCTTAAGCAACAGCTATAAAATTCAATGAAATAATCTTACACACACAAATACTTTAATAAAACTCTGTTTTAATTTGGATGTGCTGAGGGAACATATCACATTTTAGTAAATAAAAATGCAACACAACAATTGTGTTTTCACAGTACACAGGCTAAGCATTAGTTAGTGCAAAATAAGAAGAAAAAAATGTAAAATGAAACGAAACTTATTGATGAAAACCAACATTTAAACATCATTTGCTCAAAAGAAGTCTGGATTTTTACTTGCATAAATGTACTTGTAAAAATGTTGGAGAAAGAGATTGTTATCCAAAACCAGATCTCACAGACTAATGCTATAAACTAATGTGATGGACAATTTGTTAGTCAGCTGCCTTTGCTGTTTCTTCAATTTTTCATATAAATGAGTATTAATATATTGCTTGTCACATGACCAGTGTGAATCATTTTCTGGTTCCTTTGTTTTAATAATCATACCAGCATTTTCCACCAACAAAATAACCTGACCTATACAAAAAAAAGTCTCCTCTCTAAGAAAATGTAAATTCTACTTTTACACTAGTACTAACTAGTCCAATGCTATAAAATTCAGCATAACGTGATCCTGAATGTAAAACAATATAGGGCTTAATATATGTCAGGGCCCAATTTACAAAACCTAGGATTAAAACCAAATTTCACTTGGTCTGAAACCTTCCTATTACATACCATAACAAGAAGTGTAAAATTATATTTAGTGAATTCTTCAAATTTACACTAAAAACTCAACAAAATTGATATTAAAAAATACCAAAGAAGATCTTGCTCATGTCTTAATTTTCTTTTTTACTCATTTGATCTTCAATAAAACAAGGTTTACAGTTTAGTCTAGCAATCATCTAAACTCATTCCAATATATTAATCTTAAGAATAATTTGATCAACAATAAATTTATATATAGAGATACTGTATATATATAATTCATCAATACATGTACAAGCAATTCAATGTTAAAGATATATTTTGTGATCTGGAAAATTAGTTATACATATACTAACATTACATAGTTTATAGCTAGCAGGTATTGTATATACTAAAGAATTACAATAATTATCATAAAATAAAAATGCATAATGGCATATAATATAAAACCAAGTACTCTACATGTATCTAGCATGCTACAAATAAGAGAAGAAAAAATGACGGCACTAAAAGTTCCTCCATTCTTACATTATAATCTGATTTCTCTTTTGCTAAAATCGCATGATAATTAACAAACATGTACAAGGGATCAACAACCATAAGATAAAACAAATCTGTGCAAAACGCAAATCTTATCAATGAAAGCTCTGTATGAAGACTGAGTTTTGTTGTAATGCCATCTTAAATAAAATTTTATCTAAGTAAAGGTGAGACCAGCTTCCTCATAAACTTTGAATATCTTTTTAATGGAGGTAATGTAGGCGGCAGTCCGTAAATCCAGACCAAGGTTGTAGGTCATGGCAGAGTCCATAATATTCTAAAACAAAAAATCTCCAAGATCAGTGTCACCAATATCATTTAAGTACTTAAGTTCAATGCAAAAAAGAGAATAAACTATACATCAATTAAATAAAACATAATGCTAGAATCTATTCAGTTTTCAGTATGAATAAAATGAGGTACATGTATACATATCCCATATTCTAACAGAAGGACACTCCTCCTAACAAAGAATGAGAGAATGATATCGCATTAACAAACAGGGATATTATTAGTTATCCAGGTTTAACCAAGGGTGTACGGGGATTTACCCTACATTGCACATATTTCATACACTCACTGATTCAAACAATACACTCCAATCACATCTTGAGAAAAAAATTCCAACTTATGATAGCACAATAGGCCAAGGGTGTGTAGTGAGAATATTTGATCAAAAACCCTTGGCTAGATGATGTACATGATGCCACATTGAATCAATGGTGTTTCAAACTGTTGATAAGATTTCCTTTGTACTACAGTACAATGCATTGTAACATCATGTTATTTACTTTTTGCTATAGAGAGACAAATTCATTTTGACTTCACAACATTTAACCCCATCTTCAGCCAAGTGTACAGAAATTTACATCCTGCTTTGTAACCAACACCCTGCTTTGTAACCAATCAAAACTTGTCTTACAAGTTACGTAGGATATAACAAACTGAAACCCATCAGGGCTTTCAATAATTTGGAAGTAAGGAGGTGAATTTATCCACTTGATGAGCCTGTTTTAGAATTATTTCCATTAATTTATTTTGCAAATAAAGAAATTCAAAGTGGCAAATTCCGGTCATTGAAACGGGGATAAATCGCTTCCTGCTGCCCTCTGTTGAAAGCCCTGATTCCACTATAAAATTAAATTAAACCATCCAAGGTTCTGATGGAGGAAATTAATTTAATATATAAATACAAATCCTACAGTCCCTGATTTTAATCAGCTTCAGTTTCTACCTACCCTGGCAGATCTCTGCATCGAGTACTCGAGTCCTGAGTGTACAATGTCCTTCTCCGAGGCCCCCTACAATCCAGGATTAAAACACAGTTAATAACAGTATCTTCAGCATTCTTTTGATTCTGTATTCTTCAGCATTCTTCATACTCTGTATCATAATAGAATCTGTGAAATACACGTGTAATACTTACAGCTATCCTATCCTGGAATTCTCGGGACGGTACAATGGGAACAGTGTCTTTCTTGCCTCCACCAAACTTTCTCTCAAGGGATTGTTGTACGCTTTCTGTTTAATGGAAATGTTGATTTTTTATGTTATTATAAATGAATTTGAAATGTTCATGTATAAAAAATGTAATACCAAATTTTGGGAATTGGGAGGGGAAATATCCCCTTTATCCATGACAAAAATATCATTCTTTCTGACTATGCTATACTCATAGCATTAACAAACAAAAGCATGTTGTTAATAAGCTTTTGAATGTTGTGGTCCACAAGTCTCTTTTATAATTTATTCAATCTGCCTGTGAATTGATTTAATCTTAGAACATCAGACTCCTTGAAGACTAAGTCCGATAACTGTGTAACATTAATAATTTTCGCTGAGATTCTCATCTGTTTACTAATTACTTTATTAGCTTGATTATTTTACCTCCTTCAATACAACTCTAGTGTTGATGAGTACTGGGTATTGGTCAGATAAATAGATAAAGCTTTGTACTTACCCAGCAGATGGTAATTGGAATCTCTCTCATACTTAAAGGTCAGACGTCCATAACTGACATGATTCAGATTTTTAAGCCACTCGAAATACGAGACAGTCACACCACCAGCATTGATATACAGATCCTATGGGGAAACAAATGTATGCTTCATGGATTTAAAAAAATAGCTTTACATTTATACGACACTAGATTGCTAAAACAAAAAACCTTTTTTGATGCACCTTAAATAAATCTGCACCACCTTTCCTATGATTTTTGGTGATGTATGGACTGATTTTATCATCAAGGTAAATATCTCTACTTACCGGGATGACCAGGATTTTCCTCTCTAGGAAGATCTTGTCTGCTCCCATTGTGGTAGGACCATTAGCACCTTCAGCAATAATCTGAAATTTTTTTATGGTATTTATGAAGAAGAATACATTTTCTTTCATTTACAGCATCTTAAATTTGATCAAAACCTCATTTCTATCTAAATTCAACTGACGCTACACGCAGGTGTGTTAAGGAAACACTCAGATATTCTGACTTGACTAAATCAGTGCTACTTTATGACGTCACAATAGGCTAGATGACATCAATTTTAGAATGCAAGTTTTCATAATACTGGTATTTAGAGATGTAATTTAACTCCAGAAAATGAATAGAAACATGTAAATATTAACAAAAATAAAATGCTTTTATTTTGTTATGCTGTATCTGTCACTTGGATTAAAATCTCCGACCAATGACGTCAGTGATTTTTCTACACCCATTTTAGGTCCGAATATCGGCCCTTTCCCCTATCAAAAATTACCTATTTTTTCCCAATTTCATTTGCTTTTTTCCCAAAATAAAACCGTTCTTGTTTTTGTTATATTGAATTTTTTTTATGTAGTACTTATCTAAAATGGAACAATATTGTTCTCGGTCAATAATAGTGAAGAACAGCTGATTATTTTGTGCATTTACAAGATATAGAAAAACACTTGGACCATGTCAAACTAAATGCATCGTAAGAAAGTGTAAGATGCATGTGAACCGGTAAAACATAGCTTTAAATTTATTTGTAAATCAAAGTACTAGTAGTTCTACAATAAGCCTGATTCCAACTGTTTCTGTAACACCAGGAAGATGCAACTAATATTGCAGGGTAATTGCAGCAATATGATAAGGGTAATTTAAAAAGCTTTATTAACTAGTTAGAAAAAAAGGATTTGTTATAAATCATGTCAGGTTATATCACCTTCAATGGCTATTATGAGTAGGATTTTCTCTTATGTCTACCATTATGGCAAAAAAAAAAAGAAGAAAGAATGGAATTATAGGACAGTCTCAATTAATGACAATTTTCAAAGATTAAAAAAGGAGTTAAAAATGTAGAACTGTGTCTAATTTGTTATTTTGTAGTAAATATTTTGAATAAAAGATGTTACATTTACTTATATATTTTATTTTACCTGTCAATTAAGGTTAATTCCAATCTTAATAATTTTCCCCAATTTGACACAAATGTCGATAATTTTTCCCAATCGTAAAGGCCCAGGCCCCATTTAAAAAATGAAGAAAAATCACTGGACGTCATAAGTGTTCAACAAGTAACTTGGGAACTGATCATGTTGTGTAATGAGAATTTGGCTAAGACAGCATGCAAAAAGATATGTAAAAGGGGGTTTAGAAGCAAATACCATGAATATTATGTGCGATTCATATGGAGTTAAAGTTTGTTAAACAGGTATGCTAAATTATTTTAATTGATTTTATCTTCTACTGAAGACAGTCAGCTATTTACGTATCCCAGTCGGCCTGTCCTCTGTCATTAAGGACAACAAAAATGCAAAAGAACAACACTAAGCTGGATACTTCAAAACATAAGATTTGTAGAGATCGAAAGCTTGCCTTCTATAGTACTAGGAAAGTGCTGCTAGAATCGCGAGGTAAACATGGATTGAAGAAATATCTCGGATTATACGTATAAAATTCAAAACACCGGGTAAGGCTTCATGCGAATAAGTGGAATAATTATTTTCCAGACCGGACAATGGGATTCTAGCAGCACTTTTCAGGCATAATAGATGTTTTTTAATTATATTATTTACTCAAAGAAGTTATTAATCCACGGGGTAGTGTTGTTCTGTTAACTTTTTTATTAAGGAATATTTAGCTATTAAAAGCAGTCACGTGATGATGTGTGGTGGTGCACTTCTTGGCCTCAGACACTCAGTTGTCTTTATGCAGTAGTAAATAATAGTTTACATTTTATCAGCAGCTTTGATAAATTATCAAACTTAATTTTCTTTAAAAAGTCTAAATTTCCCGAGAAATGATTTGAATGCTTCCTTAACATACCCCTGCATTTAATTAGAAATAATTTTCTGAATTTTACAAGTGCAGTTTCCATATTTTGCAACTACCCCAAATTCAGTAATATTGCTGAATTTTGATCGTTACTGAACCATTCTTTTTTTGTTTTCTTTGCTGTTGAATTGAAATTCAATTTGTCATTCAGTGGTGCCTCATTCCTTTCTTCTTTAAGTTCAATCTTACCTTGGCCTTAACTAGATGTGCATTCTCCTTTGTCAACTGTCTTTCACTAGCAGCAGGAACCAGTATATCACAATCCGCTAACAACAGATCATCCTCATATGGCTTAGCTTTGGGAAATCCTTTGATGGTGCCATTTTCCTTTAAAAATCAGATCAGGTTTTAAACAATTTCAAATGACTTACGTGAACAACAAAATTTTCCACTGAAGTTGAAAATCCATACCAGTTTGTAGTCCTCCAGTTCCTTAGGATCTATTCCTTCTGGATTATATATGCTAGCATCTATCTCCTTTACTCCTACACACTTAGCACCAGCTCTGTGGAGGTACCTCATGCTGTGAAGTCCTACATTACCAAATCCCTACAGAGATAGATATAGACTATATTCACATTTAGTCTTTATACTGCAGTTTGGTCACTGTTGTAAGGTGCTTATACCATGCACTTCTCAAAATCATAAAATCTGCAAACTTTTCCGTAGACTGCTAAAGTGTATAGCATGCATCAAATATACTAGAAACACTGATCTAAAAATGAACTTGATTAAAAACATACTCCAGAAACAGGCCCAAGAACCTGACAGAACTCAAATCATATTTATTTCTCTTTGTAAAATAATTTCCATACAGTATTAATGTTCTGTAATAATCTGTGCTGTTCAATATGCCTATTAATATGTGCTGCTCAATATGCCTTTTATGTGTTGTTCAATATGCCTGTTAATACATGTATGTGTCAGAAATGTATGGTGTTTACTGTTGGTACCTGAACAATAAATGTCTTATCGCCAAACCCTGGCATCAGTCCAATCATGCTCATATAGCTGGCCTCATTGATGAAGTTCTCTATTCCATGAAACACACCCTACAAGTAAATCAAACGATCAATTCAAGTCTCCAAATGTTTTTTCAGTTTCATTGGTTAGCAAAAAACAATAAAACTCTTTGTTTTCATATAGTACATTGACTTTATCAGTACTTTATTACAGTCATACAACAGTACCAGCATTCCAAGAGTACTTTAAGTACACTAGTGCTTTGCACGACACTTACTCGACCAGTTGCTGAAATGCGTCCATGAATTCCTCCTTGAGTAATTGGCTTTCCTGTGATACAGGCATTTGCATTTATATCATTGTAACCTGTAAAAAGAAAAAGAGTTACAATAATACTTCATGGATAAAAGAAATACAAATGCTTTCATTGAAATTTCCATATTCAGTTCAAGGTCAGGTTATTAAGTAAAGAGAAATGTGATCTACAATCAAATCAAGAAATTAAGGTCTTTGAAGGATCCTACCGAGAGTGTTAGCGTATGTGTCCGCAATCCAGCTCATCTCCCTCTCTCCTGTTCCCATGTCTGGAGCAGGAACATCAATACCTGGACCTGATTAAAAATAAACTGATGTTGAATAAATTATATCATGATGTTTGGTAAGCAATAACTAGGACTTATTTGTTGCAAGATGCTAACAAAATTTATTGACAAGTATGCATTACACACGTTTAGAGCAAAAACACTTAATATAATAAATTGATGCTTACAGGGAAGTGATTTTCATTCTCCTTGAATTGAAATATAATGTAAACTTAACAGATATAATGAATTACACTTATAATGAAGCAAAATCATCCATCCCTGGAACTTTGTTATAAGTGTGCTTTACTCTTTACTTTATTCCCTTGGAAACTGGATTCAAGAAGTATTACAATCATTTATTCCTAGTTCACAAACCCCTCTCCCTAATCATAAAAAAAAAATCCACTGCATACACACATCCAGTAGATATTTGATTTCCCCTACTTCCTGTCAGAGGTGTTCAGAGCTCTGTCTGAAGTTAATTATAGCAGAAACCATTTATTTTTAAACCCATCATCAGATCTGATTGAGAAACAAATGAAACATTTCCAATGTAGTTTGGTTAAGTTAGTAAGGGAATATATTTTTTAAATTCTGTAAACATAATTATGATACGAATGTATATATTTGTCCCGTCTATTGGGTATAATGATGAACAAGGGGCTGACAAATCCCATTGCCTGACACCCGGGGCTAATGAATTTTAGAGGCCGGCAAGTGAATTTTTAATAGGCACTTTTCCATGGACAAATGACTTATAAATATCAATCAAAAATGTCATAGTTTTACACAAAATCAAAACTATATTGTCTTAAGAGTTATCTTCCTTTCCTTGTCAAACTTTGTATGTCAACCAGTTTGTTATCCTTATTCAATTCAGTACATGTCTTACCAAAAGTTCTAAGTATTTATTAACTGAAATTGACAAACTGGCATTGAAGAAATGGAGAAAGTTTTAACAACAGTATGAGGCAGAAAACAATCAGAAAATGATGATATGTACATCAACAGTGGTCACGCAATAACAATATTAGTGAAAAACCACAAAATCATCTAAGCATACCAAGTACAAGAAAAGAAAACAACGGAAACAATTATTCTTATCAGATGACAAGAATCATGACTATGGCTGAAGTATGATAATGACCTGAGTCAGTGATTCATTTTGAAAATGGTTATCATGGGTCCAAAGGACCCCTCTTAATGAAAACAATGAGTCCCGTGCCAAAATCAATGCGTCTAAATCCAAGGGTACTGTATATTAGATGTTACAGAGGAAATTGTGGTGAAATAAAAAAGGGTATTGCACGAGAGTGCAAATGTTTTATTGTAGCTGTGAGTGATTTATACTTTTACTATCAATTGTCCAAGATTGTACTACGTGATTTTGTGTCATAAAAATAATATATTGTCCACTGTGCACTTTGGTTCTATTTTTAGATCGTACATACGATCTCACACATATTATCAGTCATAAAATGCACAGAAGCAGAATGAAGTAAAAAAAGTTTAAGAAGAAATGACAAATAGTCTGAAATAAAAATGATTAAATTTTATACTTCTTAGCTTGTAAGGAAAAAACGAAAAGAAAAAAAAAAACAATGATACAGGTTACAACTTAAATACAAAGGTATAGTATTCGCTTCACAAACATTCCACAGTATAGACATCATCAGTGATAATCGAACTATGCTATCTAACTCTCAAATATTTTCTGATAATTGCTTTTAACTGCAGTTGTGAAATCTGACCTGTTGTTGGCAACCTTATACCTGTTAAAATCGTTCATGCATATCACTTAGCACATGGATATGATGCAATCAGTCAAGTTTTGAATCAGATTATACCGAAATAATTTTAAATAGTACATTTCCTCCTATAAATTTATTGCGTCCATTGGGATGCACTTTTACTGAAATAATGCGACCTGGGCAAAATTTGTGCGTAATCTACGTAGGACGCACACCAAAATGAATCACTGCTGAGTGACTATAGTGTGATAGCGATATGAGTGAGTATAGTATGATAGTGACACGAGTGGCTATAGTATGATAGTGACATGAGTGACTATAGCATGATAGCGATATGAGTGACTATAGTATGACAGCGACATGAGTGACTATAGTATGATAGCGACATGAGTGACTATAGTATGATAGCGACATGAGTGACTATAGTATGACAGCGACATGAGTGACTTTAGGATGATAGCGACATGAGTGACTATAGTACGATAGTGACATGAGTGACTATAGTATGATAGCAACGAGTGACTATAGTATGATACCGACGTGAGTGACATGCAACTTAAGGTGGGAGTTTTCAACTGTTGCCAATCAGGGATGGGCACGATTACTGAAAAATGTAATCGATTAATAATCGATTACTTAGAGGAATTTTGTGTAATCGATTATTAATCGATTATTAATCGATTATACTCATTTTTGTCCTGTAATCGATTAATAATCGATTACTTTGGAAGATGTAATCGATTAATAATCGATTACTTCCAAGTTTTTATCCCTTCAAATATCAAAGCAATATTTAAATGGTAAATGTTGATGTTATCCACTGAAGTTTGAATGTGTTTCTGCAGTTTCAGTGCAGATTCTTTTAAGGTTTTATTCTGGCTAACATTCTCACTAAATGCCCAAGTGAGGGATTTTCTACCATGGAAAGTGGAGACATGATTCCTACAATTAGGAATTAATTATTCCTTTCAACCTTAGATCTGTACCTCCATATTTATTGACTTGTTGAAAAAATTATTTAATATTTTATTGTGAATTACTTCATTAGAAGTATTTGGGCTGTCCATATGTTGACAGTACACATTAAACATTCCTGTACGTGTCTTTTTCAAAAAAAATAAGTAAATTAGAACGAACTCTTAGTAATTAACATGTAAATTAAATGTGTCTTTAAGTAATTTAACTAATACATGTAACACAGTTTCATTCTGTATTGAAATAAGTGTTTTGAGAGCTATTATTTCTTTTAATAATATTGTTTGTCTTCAATGGAATGATAGTTAAACACAAGGTAGTTCACAGTTTACACCTCATTATCTGCAATCAGGGATATGTCTCAGTCAATTAATTAGCCAATTGAGATAAGCAAACACAGTGACACTTACTCCCTCTCTTACAGGCACTTATAACCCCTCACTGATATAAAAGCAACCTTACAATTTTGAATGAAAACATGAGAATGATTTTGCAAATTTTAAAGTTACTAAAACACAAGTTTGAAGTTGTTCAAACATTTTCAGATTTGAATAAGTATTTCCATCTTTTTTTTTTTTTTTTTTTCCGAGTACTATGTAGTTTATTTACCAAATTATTTATATTTAATACAGCACTTAAATCTGTTTTTGCTATTTATAATTTTCTATTACAAGACAAAGTTTTTCAACATCTGAAATATGAAAAAGGACATGCAGCAAGAGGACAGTGGGTCAAATGTAAAATGCACACGGAAAATATGTATATTTTATTAATAAATGGTTGAAATACAATTCTGAATTATTTAATACTAGACCAGTAGGTCTATAATGCAAATTTTATTGAGAACATTATTAAACTTATGATAAGAAAAGTTAGGAAATCCAAACATTACACTAGGTGGTTTATATTTGATATTTATGTGTGGTTGACTGGAATTAATTCTCCAAAATAACATCCATTTATGTATAAAATAATCGAAAGTAATCGAAAAAGTAATTATAATTACATTGAAAATTTTAGCTGTAATCGATTAAATTACGATTACAAGTAATCGAAAATCTCTTCGATTACAGATTACTGTCAATTACTTGAAAAACAGTAATCATTACAATCGATTACGATTACTCGATTACGATTACCCCATCCATGTTGCCAATATTCAAACAACACTTTCTAGGATGCGAAAATTTTTCAATTTGATGATGAATTTTATTCATTATAATGAATATGAAGTGCTGGATAATGGACAACAATGAAAGAATTAAAGGAGATGCGTTTTGTTGTTTTGGATGCAACTGAAACTATTTTGTCATAAGAGTTTTTTCTAATTTATCTTTATTATATAGTATATGGTAGGGCAAGTGAATTTTGACCATGGGCAAGTGCTTAGAAAATCTATTTGTCAGTCCCTGTGAACAAACCTATAAATCCTTTCTTGGCAAGTTCAACAGCTAGTCTCCTGGTAATTTTCTCCAGCTCTTTCTCAGAATAGTTGGCAGGGTTGATTTTGACTCCAGCCTTGGCTCCACCAAAAGGAACATCAACCACTGCACATTTGTAGGTCATCAAGGCAGCTAATGCCTTTACCTCATCCTCACACACATCCATACTGTACCTAATACCTGTATATATATATTCAAAATGTTTAAGACATTCTGAAAATAATGAAGTGAAAATGTTGAATCATAAAATATTTAATAGTATTATAATAAACTTCGTTATTTCTTTTTTTAATAAACAGGTTGGGACCAGTTCCACAAAGAGGATATAAAATCTGCATAAAGATAACTGAAAAACAAATTTTGGTAAATAAGTTTTTCTGTATCCCTACTATTTAGGACATTGATCTCGCAGAACTAAATCTTCTTGGGGATCCACCTGACACTGTAGGGTCAAAGAAAAACGTGCTTGCAAAAGGTTTTTAGCAAAATATTTTTTCTTGCACTGTAAATTTACATCCCATATGAGATACTTTAATCCAAACAGACTATTATATCCCATTTAGCGAGTGGTCCCAACCCGATAAACACAGAATTATACTATTATCCTAGTACTGTTGCCAGTGTTGGCGAAGTTTGAGCCTGGGGTCAATAGAACACAATTTTTCTACTTTCGACTAGATGTCATTGACCTAACAAAAATAATGACATTTACCTCCTTTGCAAGGTGTGCGATGCTGGCTATGCTGTGCTCTCCAAGCTTCAATGATTTCATACTCGCCATTGTCGCGTTTCAATGGAAAGGTGATTTCGATCATGTGGTTTGCTGGTTTAATAATCTTCAGTATACCCTTTACCTTTTTAATCTTGTCATCCATCGAAGCTCGACTTCTCATGCCTTTTGCCAAATCGGTCTCTATTAGAGACGACGCCCTGTCATAAAATTTGTCTACTGTTTGCGAAAACGACAAACTATCATCGTCATCATCAGCTTCGGTGCTGTAGCTACTTTTTGGGGACAAAATTCTGGCAGAATTCTTCAAATTGTTTTTGCTTCCCCATTTAGAAACACTTTTTAAGACTTCCGTTGAGATTGATCGCAGCATTTTGTCCACGCTGTGTGTCAGGATACTCAACAACTGCTTCTTTCACTTTTCCTCTAAAATAACCTTGAAGTAAGCGATGTAAGACATCCGTTGATTGGTCAAAGCAGAAAAATACGTTAGAAGGTGTGTCTAACATTCGATAAATTTATCCAATCAAAAGATACGTTATATTTGCGCAGGTCAAAGGATGTTCGTCATTATGATGACGAAATGTTTACTCTTAGGCCTAATCTCAAAGGGGTCTGGACACAGTTGCATTGTTTACATTTTAAATTTCTGTATGCTGATTCAAAAAATAAAGGCAGATAAATGAATTGAACTTGCATGAAAATTCTTAGAATTCAATAACAATGACATTCTTCTTTACATCACGTCAAACATCTGTTTTTGCAAACAGTGCACGAGCCCTGTTATTAGTCCTCTACCGGTGAAACCGGAGGGGACTATAGGTTTCCTGCTGAGTCTGCCCGTCCGTCTAGCTGTCCCTCTGTCTGTCTGTCCCACTTAGTTTTCCGCAATTTTCTTCTAAACGCTTGCAGATATTGAGCTGATTTTTGGTATGTGAGTGTGTATCTTGATGAGTTACAGATCAAGTTTGAATTTCATTCCGCTTCAATGATTTTTTGACGACCTTTTCAATTTTTCAGGGTTTTCCGCAATTTTTTTCTAAACGCTTACAGATATTGAGCTGATTTTTGGTATGTGACTTTACCTTGATGCGTTATATATATGGCACGCCAAATTCACAAAAATGAGCTAATCATAGTTTCACAGTTGATAAACTAGGTTTATCGACTGTAAACTATAGTTTACAGACCGTAAACTATAGTTAACGATGATAATCTATATTTCACATATGTAAACTATAGTTTACACGATAATCTATGTTTCACAAGCGTAATTAAACTATAATTAACACGGAAAACAATCATTTGCTACTGCAAAATATAGTTTATCTGATTTATATAGTTTCACGATTTGTAAACTATGATTTACAACTCTAAACTATATACTTAACAAATGTAAATTATAGGTTAGGGTTTGTAAAATATACTTTACAGACATACAAAGCGCCAAATTCACAAAAATGCGATAAACATAGTTTTACACTTGAGAAACACAGTTTAGGAACAGAATCTCTTATTTTGTATCCGAGATACACAATTTTCTGTGAAACTAGATTTCACGACTCTAAACCATAGTTTACGATCAAAACTATAGTTAACAATAGTTTTGTTTTTTTTTTTTTTTTTTTTGTAAATTATAGATCGGCTAATCCTAGTTACAGCATTATAAGATTTTGCTATGTAACGACAATTGTTGTTAAATATATATGCATATATATTTCTTGTTGGCGTTATATTAAGTAAATGTTCTATTATTTTAAAGCAAATCTATGGCACGCCGATTGCTTCAAAATTATTTTCTGCACGACCTTAAACAAAAATTACACGAGTAAGTAAAAACTTACACAAAGTGAGGAAAATATACACGAAGTTATTGAAATTTACACAAACTATTGAAAAACTGCACAATCAACAAAATATTTACACGATATAGTGAGAAAATTACACAAACATAAAAACGAAAACTGCACGAGTGAGAATACAACATCGACATAATACACAACGCATCCTCATTGCGCACATTTCATTAATATTCATTAGAAAACAGGTCAATGTGGCTTGGATGCTTGAAACACACTATAAATACAAAAGGAGGAGTAAAGTGTTAGTAATCTTTTTAAAAAAAGATTCTTTTAAAATACCGCTAGACTCTCAAGAATATGTACAACATATATTATACATGTAGATAAATTGACAGGCACACAATCTCAAACTTGTAGTATATGAATACTCCCGAATAAAAAACATTCTACAAAGAATACATGTATAGATAACGTAAAAAAAAAAGGGGGGGGTGCATATTACAGTTGTGTGTTTAATTGTTGGATTTTTTTAGTAGGTCATTCCTCTATATAGCAATTTCTTTTGAAAGTTTAAAACAATGACATATAGGCCTAAATTAAAATAAATAAAAACAACATGTGATATAATACAGGAGAGTTAACAACAAATCAAACACTCTTCTCCTCCACGACCCACTGAGTGTACTTTTGGTAATAATCAAGGAGGTGCATGCGTGACCTTTTCATACAGAGATCCCTCCCTGCTGATTCTGGAACGAAAGACACCTGTACGCTAATCGATTTATAGCTATTTCACACACCAATAATACCTTTTGATTAAAGATTACTGGCGATTCATACAAAGATTTTGAAGCAATGTTGCGATCATCTGGGTTGTGGAATTTGACCGAAAACTTTTTCGAAGTCAACAGTAAAGAAAATCGAGCAAAAAATTGCGCAACTGAAATTTTAATATTGAAACGCATATCTCACTTTTTGATATATGTATGTAACAAAGTAGTACATGTAGTCTTAACTTCTGACCAACGTGTGGTGATTTCATAAAACTCCATGAAACTGTAGAAAAATTATACAGTCGTTTTACTTATTTGAATTAAAGCATAATCTTATGTTGTTTTTAATGTACCGGCGGTAGTCTATTTTGAATAGTTAAAATGCATATAAAGGAGTGAAGAAAATTTAAAATTATAAAATACAGGCACGTAGTATCGGTGGGGGGGGGGGGGCAACCAGTTTTTTTTTTTTTTTTGACAACCTACCTGAAAAAAACCTTGACAAGCAAAAAAAAAAAAAAGACATCCTCGCAAGCCAGGGGTCCTGAGTCAACACGTTGCCGTTGGACCCCTGGCATATTTCATTCAATATTTGTGGGCTGACTGTAGCGACATCTCTCAGAAAAATTACAAATCTTGAATGTTTTTCTTATCTCTCAACCAATCACATTAATCCATTCTATGATAAACAACTTGTAACACGTGCATTCGAGGTATCAACTGAATCCTTATCTAACTATTTATGAAAGCGCTTATTTGATTGGTGCTTCTCAATGAGAGAAGCAAGCCCACGAATATTGAATGAAATATGCCAGGGGTCCAACGGCAACGTGTTGACTCAGGGCCCCTGGCTTGCGAGGATGAAAAAAAGGTAAAGTGTCCAAATTCGAAAATCCTATTTCGAAGGGGGGGGGGGGGCACCTTCCACTTTGTTTTCGAAATCAGGATAGCAATTTAACTGATTTGTAACGATATTCTAAGACATAATTCAAGATGTACAAGATGAACTTAATTAGCTGGGACTTGGCTACACATGGATATTTATTTTCAATGCAGATTTTGACAATAATAAATTTGAACACGGTAATAAAACAAAAGTTTCTTGAAGTTTATATTCATCATATGTTTTCTTATATTTATTCGTCGTCATGCTCGAAGTAAAAACAAGACCTGGTTGATGCCATTGATACACATGTACAATATTGCTATAAAGCAAGCTTTTTAATTACTTGTACATATATACGTACAAAATTCATATTGCATAGATCATTCTTTTTAACTCATAATCTGAATTCTCAAAAATGTTATATATGCACATGAATAATCTTTTACAAAGTGGAGCTTGTATCAAATATGTTCCTTATTGAAGATTATTTTCATTTTATAATTATGCAGTCGTTCTTTTTATAATGACTATATCTTTGGGTAAAAAAGTGTTATTACAAAAAAACAAGTGTTCGGATAATAATTAAAATTTTATGCATACAAATTCGAAATGTAAAGAAAATTTGTTATCTTGGAAAATCTTTGTCAAACCTCGAGCTCCATAAAGAACATGGTTTATTTGCATTTTTCAAGAGCGATAAAACGCGTTCTATGTTCTTTCTATTTATTATAATATCCATTCCCATTTTCTTATTTGTAACATTGTACGTAGATGTATTTAGTAATTCACCATGTTTTAAAATTTCTGACGTATCATTATTGTCCAACGATTTGAAACTTTAATAAATACATAGATTCAGATGTTGCGACTCAATCCATCCACGAACCAGATCCGCCACTAATGTCATTAGTTTAACCGGTGCCAGGATCATTTGAGAAGAGTTTTGTTATTTCATTTGGACAAATTTTAAGTAACAAAACACAAAACCGCATGTATATAAAGCACATAGAGTATATATTTTTCCTTTATCTGGTCCTTTTTATTAAAAGTGAAAACATTTATCAAGTAATCGCCATTACGAATGAGGGTAACGCTTTCCCTTAGGAATAACTTGTTGTTTATTGGGTAGTTTTTGACTGAAAATATGCGATATCATGGAAGGAATTCTTAACAGTGTAGGCTACAGATATCCAACCAAAATTGATATCCTCATATTTTATAAGTAAAGATACATGTATTATTAGAAATATTTTTTTATGTTTGACTTTAAAAACATACTGTGTATATCTAAGTTCAGGTAATCCCCACTTTTTAATTTTTTTGAAAATAAAAAAAAAAAATATATCCAGCTAACTCCCAAATGAAAAAAAATCTGCTCAAATGAAATCATGATTAGTGCAAATGAGGAGTACAGAAATAAATTCTACAATTTAATGATTATAATCAGCAATAATTCTGCCATCATTTTCATGAAGAATCCACTTTATTAATCGTTTTATTATGCATGTGTTAATTTTTATTTTATACAAATAATTTCCTTTAAAGTTGTATCTAGAAGTTAGATAATTTTAAAAGGCCATAGAGCGTATATTTAAAAAAGAAAATAAATTAATAATTCTATCATTGTTTAAAGCAAGATCTGTTTATCGTTAGGAATTTAGAGTTTGCTGTGTATTACTTTTAGTTCAGAGTCGAGTCCATCATATGCAATGGTACTTTTTCCCCCGCATTATAACACAAACACGCGATTTCTTTCTTGTCACAATTTATGTCCGGCATCATATAATACCTCCATATTTTGGCTAGGATCTCGGTCAATATAAGAAAAATATAATATCTCCGAACAACTTTTAATTTTTTTCACACAGTTCACAAGAAAACACTTCATTCGTTTGATTGGCATTAGCTAGAAATCGGATCGAGTTTTTGCAAAGAAATAGAGAAGCAAACAAACATGCATATCATCGTCAACGCCATTTTCTCTCGATTACATCCAACATTCAAGAA